AGAGAGAGAGAGAGAGAGAGAGAGAGAGAGAGAGAGAGAGAGAGAGAGAGAGAGAGAGAGACAGAGAGAGAGAGAGACAGAGAGAGAGAGAGACAGCCAGAATAGTAAGTCACAGGGATCTTTTTGCTTAGATATGAAAGACAAAAATTGCAAAGGAAAGTATTATTGAATTTGGCTGCAAAAATGAAAATAATAAACCAACCACAGGGTTCTTTATCAATACTCGTTGCAAGTATTTCCTCTGGTTGTGCTTTCTTTGCACTAAATGAGGGAATTTTGGTCAGATAAACACAATTCATTTGGGGTCTGTGGATGTAGCTCAGTTCGTAGAGGGCTTGCCTATTGTGTGTGAGGGCCTGAGTCCCATCTCAGGCACTGCACACAGGACTGGTGACACACCCTTGTGATCCCAGCACTTGGGAAATGGAGGCTGGATGGTCAGGAGTTCAAGGTCATCCTCAGCTATATAGCTAGTTTGAGGCCAACCTGGCCTAATTGAGACTCTGTCTTAAAAGATGGAAAAATGTCTACTTATCATTAATTTTAATCTTTTAAAAACAATGGGCAGGAATATTCAGTTAGTGAATTAATTTTAAAAATACTGATGAAAGAACCCATAGTGGCCGTGAGGTGTAACTCAATGGCAGAGCCCTGGTCTAGCCTGCATGTGGCCTAAGGGACCATCTGAAGTCCTGCTAGAGAAAAAACCATGGTGTGTCTGACTGAAGCAGAGACAGGCATGGCTGCCTTAAATTGAGATTTCTACCAAGCACCTACAGATTATGTCGAGGGCCAGGAGAAATTAGGAAAGGAGGAAGAGGGAGGAGGCTGAGAAGAACAGAGATCTCAGAAAAGGCCGTTTAGGGAAACGTGTAGGAGGCACAGGAAACACAGACATAAAGCGGCCTGGCCAGTTCTTGCTGTGGACTTTATCCTGAGCCATGACAGGGGTTAAGATGAGGAGTGGTTGGCCAGGGAGAGGCAGGTGGGTCTAACCTGGAAGGGGCAACATAATTTATCACTGTACCCTGAGAACTGGCAATGCAATGAATGGAAACTGATTATTATTTGGCTGTTAATTTTATATTTAAATTTGTAAATACTTGCTTTTTATTAAATTTTTGCACAACTATATTCATGCATGTGTGTATGTGGGGGGGGGAGAGCAAGAGCGAACAAAAGAGAGAGAGCCAGAGCTTAACCTTAGTTGTTCCTTCTTCAGATATCATACACCTTGTTTGTAATTCAGGCCATGTGAGCCCCTGTAACCGCAACGCCATGGGAGATGGGGACAAGTGGATCAATGCAGCTTCATAGCCCTTCAGCCTAGCCCAGAACAGTGAGCTCCAGGTTCAGTGAGAGACCCTGCCTCAAGGGAATAAAGTCGGTTTTACTAGAGGAGGATTCCCAGTGCCACACGCTGGTGTTCCCAAGCACAAAAATGGGGTATATGTACACATGCACACACACACTTACACATACACACACTTACACACACACACACACACGTATGCTTATACTATATATACATGCTCTACAAAATTGAGATAGAAGGGAGGCAAACAATAGAGTGAACTCCAGCAGAGGCCATGTGTCTATAGTTGAGAGACTCTTGGAGGTAAAGGGTTCTTTCAGGGTCTGTTAGTCACTAGCATGACTTGGGCAGGAGTCTCCACGTCAGTGGTGGTGCATGGTCGGTACAATCCCCACATGGTGACTCAGCTGGACCTGAGTGCACTCTGTGTGGAAGCTGAAGCTACAGCTGCTACAGAGGAGGTGAAGCGACACGAAGACCTGGTGATGGTGAGAACGTGAGGGTCTATGTGTGAAAGATGGGAGATGCTGGGCAAGGAGGGAGAAGAGGGCACTGAGGGAGGGGATAAAGAAACTGGGGCAGGGAGAGGTGAAGGCTGTGTCTTAGAGACAGGTGAAGTAGGGGGACCCAGAGGAGGAAGGGTATACATGGGGACCAGAGGCACCCTCTGTGGACGGCATGAGTTACGGTGTAAACCCTAGATCTAATGGAGACCCTGACACAGCACCAAGTGGAGGCTGCTTCATTCTGGAGAAGCCAACACACATGGATTTCTGACAATGAGGGTGGGGGTGGGCAGGGAGGTAGTGCAGTTGGGAGAAAGAAGTATGAGAATGGGCATCTGGGAAGAGCTGACCCCTGGGGGTGGGGTGGGATCTAAGGGCACAATAAGAAGCCAGTTCAGAGAGAGCAGCTAAGGCTTGTGCATGGTTATGGAGAACAGGAAGGGCGGAGTTGGCAGAGGTCTGAGCAGGGCATTGAACACATGAGAGGAACCTTCGAAAAGAATCAGAGGCATAAAATCTCTAGTAGCATCTATGGTATAAAGAATCCAGGACCAGCAAGGGCTGACCTTGGCCAAGGACACTCACTAGGGGTGATGCTGAGGTTGGTACCAGGAATCGACTGAAAGAACTCCTCCTTTAGTTTTCTTGCTTTCAGATGAACTCGGCAGAAATACACTGCCTGGTCCTTCTCCTTCAAGTCCAGGATTCTGAGGGCTCCGGATGTCTGAGGCTGTGTCCAGTTCAGGATGAGCCGATTCTTGAAATGCTCATGGATGAAACCCGAGGAAGAGTTGTAGATAAATTCCCCATGGAACTGCTTCCATCTCCAGAGAATCGTCATCTGCAGATCCTTTGGTGATTTCCAGGAATAGTAGAAGGAGAAGGGGATCTCAATGGAGCTGCCTTGGACACCAGAGAGGTGTGCTGTTTGCTTGACTCCAAAATCATTTACTCTCTTGGATCCAGCTGAATTCCCTGGGAAAATGGGAGAGATTATGAAGTCTACAGGGATTGGAAAGCACAGCCCGGAGCTTACTGGGTCTTCATCCACAGGCAGGTATGGGACACAGGGCAGGACTATCCCCAGGTTCCACTTCCCATGTAACAAGACAGACTAGGAAAGGTTGTTGGGTTGGACCCACTCAGAGGGATAAGCTCTCTCTTGGGGGTACAGAGACAGACTTGCTCCTCTAGCGGTCAGCTGTCCACATGACAGCCCACTCTTCCCAACCCACCTGACCCCTCCTGTGGTTAAGACAGAGTCCATGATAGCAAGGTCCCCACCACTTACCAGGTGGTAGACATGTCGCTGGCAGCAGCAGAAGCAGGGTCCAAGCCATGGTCCAATTACCTCTCCAAAATGAGACCAGTGGAGCCATCAGGCAGGGGAACAGACCCTGTGGAAAGACCCTGGGTTGCTCAGGTGTCAGGAGAGAATAAGGGTAAAGGGATCCACATCCTCCGGGCCTACCCATGTGGAGGACAGTGTGGGTAGGACCTCCCCATATCCAACCCCTTGTGGCCAGCAACTTCCTTTATCATTCTGGCTTCCTCCCCACATGTTGCAAGAGATCCTCCCTTGTGGTCATTGACAGGATGGCCATGCCCTTGAGCTCAGCCCCCATTTTTTTCTGGAAAATACTGCCTTGACATCTGCATGCCGGGCTCTCCTCTCTTCCACCCTGACCTCCTGTCTCATGCAGTCTTTCCCATTCCCTATGCAGCCTGCAATCACTGTTTCCTCAGCTTCTGATTTCCTCCACTCCTGCCCTCCCCTCAGTCTGTTTCACCCTATGTCTCCTCATGTTGGTTCTCTCTCTTTCTCTCTCTCTCTCTCTCTCTCTCTCTCTCTCTCTGTCTCTGTCTGTCTCCCCCCTCTCTCTTTCTCTCTCTCTCTCCCCCCTCTCATAATCGCAGTTAAGAGAATGATCGTTTTCTGCTCACCAGACACAACGAGGAAGGAGATGATTAGGAAACACATTCAGTCCCAGCCCTAGCTTGGTGCCCCCACCGTCGTCTGCTCTTTGCACTCTTGCTGCCTGTCAGGGACTCCTCACAGCGCCCCTGGAATCCTAAGGCCCAGTGGACACTTCCGCCCTGGCGCTTGCTGCTGCAGAGTCTGTAACTTCTCTGTGCTTCCAGGTAAGCTATAGATTCGTCTCTCTCACCTCGACACTGACTCCAGAGCTCCTCCAGCTTCTGAAGGAGTCTTCCTGCCTCCCTCCACCCTTAACACTCACTCAGAAGAGGAAACTAAGGGTCAGAGAAGCCTGGCACATGTCACATGACTGGCACAATGGTAGGCTATTGGACTTCAGTCCAGCTGAGTTCTCCTAGTCTCACTCTCCACACTGACTTCCAGCTGCCTGCTCGGTGCAGCCTCTGAACTCCCCTCAAAGGCTACAGATCTGCTGCTGGGCTCCAGGGAGGATGTTCCCACAGAACACTTCAGTGATTCCTTCTAGCTGTGGCTGTTCTAGAACCTTCTTTGAATGCAGTGGGCAAAAAGGGTTCAGAGCAGCAATGTGTCAGTCATGACATATCGCCTGGGACATCTCTGAGAGTGGACACAGCTGGTCCGTGAATAGTCGAGTTTGAGATGTGGGGGCAGTGGCTGTGGTGGTCACAGGGCTGGTTCTGTGGAGGTCATCCCACCCTTCCCCATGACAAGGTGCCACCAGTTCCCTGAAGGGCAGGAAGATGTGATTGTACCAGAAGAAATGGCATTATACTCTCTGAATGACATGTGCAGAGGCGACTTCCCATTTCCTTAGATTTCCTGGCATTGACTGCCTTCCCCATGCTCCCCTGCAGGTGGCTATGCAGCCGCCTCTGTCATGTCTGCTTTCTCTGCCTTCCTCACCCCTTGCTAAGTCTCTAAAGGAAGGATTGGGCCTAATGAGCTTGCCATGCTCCAGCTGCTGGTCTCCAGCATTTTTACACAACAGACTCTGGTTGGTCCCAGGATCCCAGCTGTCCCTTGTGCTCAGCATCACTGCTGCCACCTGCTGGCCCCTCAATCCCAAATCATGAGCTCTGTTCTAATTTTAGTTGTATCCCATAGGGACCCTCTTGTGGGACGATTTCTGTCCAGCAGGCTGTAATCAGTCTCCTACAGCGACAACTGCATTTCCCCCAATAGCAGTGACTGGGCTCTGAAGCCATGAGTCTTTCACAGGGAAGGGGCACTTTCTGTGAAAGAGCAGCTGGGGGCTGTCCAGTGCACACATAGGGCTTTTACATACATGTGACCATGGGGAGGAGTGTCAGACTGCAGTGTTAGAACCTGGCTGCTGCTCAGGTTGTAGCACAAATGTGCCCTGCTCCCACAGAATAAAAAAGTGTAATTTTAAAAGCTAAAACATAAAGTGGGATAGGCATGATGGTGCATGCCTTTAATTCCAGCTTTGGGGAAGCAGAGAGGCAGACACGTGTGGAACTCAGTGAGTTTGAGGCTGTCCTGGTCTATATATAAAGTTACAGGCCAGCAATGGCTCTGTAGATTTTGTCTCGTAAAAACCAAACCAAACAAACAAAGAAACAAATCCAAGGTGGAATGTGTTCTGAATAGAAACGCCTGAGTTTGTCCGCTGGCCTCCACATAGAGGAGCTCACACATGCACACATGTGCAGCTTAATACAGACACAGACACGTCATGCAGGGAGACACCCATAGCTGATGGGCCCCACATGTCTGCCCAGTCCTGATCCTGAGTAAACACGGTCTCTTGAGGCCAGCCTCTGTGACTCTCAGACTCCAGTTCCTGATTGTGTCCCTAGCATTCAGACCCTGATTTTATACCCAGCTGTGTTTTCCCATGACAGTGATGGCAGAGAATAGACTCAACCCTTCCGACTTCTGCTGGAACCATCCAATTCCAGAAACTTCCCTCAAATAACACAGTGAAGTGCAGATGGGCCCTGCCCCAGCATACAACTCATAGATGAAAACTGTCCATCTGTCCTCCCATCTGTCATACCATCCACTCTCCCATTCCTTGAGTTTTTATCCCCACTGGCATCTAAGAGCACCCAGAAGAAACCCAGAGTGGCTGCCCAGATTGGGTGCCGAGAGAGTTGAGGGGATCCTAGAGAGAGGGTGGAGGATGACGACCTGTGGTGCAGACAGGACACTCAGGCTGACCTAGGACATCACAGTAGCACATTTGCTCCGCCCTCATCTGAATCCTCTTTTCTCCCCTTGATGGCATCAACATCTGTTATGTGCTCTCCAACCTCAGTGTGAGGACCTCCCTGCACCCCTGTATAAGGGAGCCTCAAGAAGAGACTCTATACCATTTACTATAAGTCTAGTGAGCAGCTGGGTGACATTATCAGCCACCTATTCCTCTGGATGAAGTCTCCCAGATTCTGCAGATAGCCAAGGCAGAGGGAGGAACACACATGTCATTGGGTTGAGGTCACAGAAACTGAGAAACTCTCAATTTCCTCTTCAACTTTCTATATTGCTTAAGCCAACTATTAATAGTCAAAATTTTATTTTAGTGAATCTAAAGAAAAACCGTCTAGCCTGGCTAGACCCCATGTCTGCTGCCATCCCTACAGTCATGCTCCCTGCACCCTGAGGGAATTTTATATAAATGATGTTGAGAATACTGGTTCTGTGTAAGCATTTGCTGTGGGCCCCTTTATTGTTCCTCCTTTTTAAACAATGGAAACTGACATGGCAATTCACGTGACCATTGGAGTAACATGCATGAGGCCCCTTCTCTGTGCCCAGCTGCCTGGAGGGAGGTGATAGTGAATAAACTGTACTGTAGATGATTGGGCAGACGGTCACCATGGCAGTCTGCCTGTGTGAACACCTCAGGGATGCTCAGAGGGACACTACACCAGTTTTCAAAATTACTAAAGTGAACTATTAATAGTCACAAAATTTATTTCAGTGAATCTAACGAAAAACTGTTTCTTTAGATTCTCTTGTCTTCAAGTTCACAAGGTCATTGCTGCTGAGTTCAGCCTCAGAGGCTTGGATCCAGTTACACCACAGCAGACATCTCACAGCTGTCCCAGGAGACTAGTCATGAGAAGCCTTGGTGACTTCTCCAACACCCATCCATCTGCAGCTAGTCCCATGGGGATGGGACAGTTTTCCAGTGACTCAGCAAAGGCCCCTGATTGATACACATTTGAGACTTGTCACTGATGGAATCAGAGCTGCATCTATGCAAGACTGTGATTGGTGGATCTGAATCATGCATGCCTGTCTTAGGGTTTCTATTGTTGTCAAGAGACATCATGAGCATGGCAACTCTTATAAAGGAAATAATTAATTTGGGGTGGCTTCCAGTTTTAGAGGATTAGTTCATTATCTTCATGGTGGGCATGGTAGCGTGAAGGCAGACATGGTGCTGGATAAGGAGCAGAGACTTATCCATATGAATCAACAGGGAGCAGGAAGTGAACTGCATCTACTCTGAGCATATACTGAGCATAGGTGACCTGAGAGCCCACCTCCACAATGACACACTTCCTCCAACAAGACCACACCTACTCCAACAAAGCTATGCCTCCTAATAGTGCCACTCCCTATGGGCATATGGGGGCCAACTACAGCCACACTGCCAAATGCCCATGCACCTCTTCTCCCTGTGAAAGCAGCCTGGATTTCATACTTATTGGTCAGTGTGGATGCTGTCCTTATGTCCCAGCATGCTCTTTGGTAGAAGCTGACACACTGACTATCAAACGTTAAGACATACTGGACTTGGAAGGAAGTCTTGTCCTAGGGGAGACCCCAAAGGTCAGAATATCAACATGGCAGGAAATAAGGAAAGAGAGTGGATGTAGATGGGCCTGTGAGGAAAGGAAGCCCATTCTGTGACCCAAGCAAGCCATGGTCTGTCACCTGAGGAGGAGCCTGGAGAGGCCAGGGCCTGTGGCTGAGATGTCAGTATCCAGGGAGAATGGAGAGAGGAACAGGGTTCTCATGCAGTGGTTCTCAGTGTGGACCATGGTCTTTGCCTCTCAGTGTCCCAGCTCATGGACACAATCTGCTACTCTCTAAGGTCTCACATGGGGTGTTGAGACAGGATAGGCATTGCTGGGAGGAAGATATTTATTAAAAATGTTATTAACTCCACAGACAGATAGGTAATAGCAGAGTTTGGATCTCAGGACCAGAGAGAGACAAATTGACAGGGTTCTGAGGAAAGGAATTCCAGTGCACATTGCAGAAATCGGGTTCTCTTCTTGTACCTGTCCATGGACGGATGTTTCACAGCACAGGGTACAGCCCTGCTCTCTGATTTCCAGGCTTTGGTGAAGGAAGGGGTTGAAGATGCAGGATGTGTGGCCACCAAGCCTTAATTCGAATGAAATTCACCACCCTGGTGAGCGATGCTGGCCCCTGGAGTTCCATTAGTTGGGGATTAACAGTGCTGTGCCTAAGAAGGAGAGGGCAGTTTTCTGTAGTCAGTTTTCTATTTACCTCATTTAGGTCCCCCAAATGAACGCAGGTCATTGGTCTTGGCTGCAGACACCTTCTCCCACGGAGCTATCTCTCTGCTCCCCACTTTTCTTTTGTCCATTAATACGTAATTTTCAAACCCTTCATTTAAAGTAAACTTAGAAAATGCCATGACCATAATTTATCCCCTTGAAGAATCCACATTATTTTTTATGACATGGTTTCTCATTGACCTGGAACTCTAGACTAGCTGGACGGACAGCTCCACGCTTCTGTCTGTCTCTCATAACAAACTTCCTCAAGCAGCCCCTCACATGCTCCTTGGGATGACAGCTGCTCACCTGATTGGGGTTTCAGCTTTAGTCTGCTGGCCTGTAGGAGAAGAACCAGTGTCAATGTGGCAGCCATGCTGATCCGCTGTCTGCCTCTCAGCTGTTCTTTGTTCAACATTAGGGGCAGAGGACAGCAAACAGCTCTGTAGCATCCAATCAGGGAAAGGAATGAGAGTCCCCAGGACATGAAGACAGTCCTCAGTCCTGCACAGCACAGCCAATCAGAGGACAGCTCTCCTGTCCACTGCCCCTTGTCCATGTCCTTCTCTTTTTGCTTCCTTCCCCTTCTTGAACTCATGTCCCTTACCTGCTCTCTCTGCTCGGCACTCATCACGCCTCCCTTTTGTCTCCCTGGATCCTGGCTCCCTGGCTTTCCCTGTGAGTGAAGGCTGTTGCACCCTGAAGATTCAGTCTCGGGGTTCGAATCCGAGTAAGACTTCTGCTGCCTCCCAGACTGCTGCTCTCCACCTCTCAGCTGCTCTTCTTATCCACTTCCGGGGTGAGCCCTTTCGAAAATTAGGGCCTGCATGTTCAAGTGTGTGTTTCTGGGCTTTATATTACATTCCACTATCTACTCATCTCTGCTCCTGTCCTGTAGTCTTCTTACCATGGATTTAAGTCTGCTCTGAATCCAGTCCACACTTTACTTTTGTTTAATGTGTGTTCAAGATCTTGTGGAAGCCAGGTTGACCTTGAACTTTCTATGTAACTTCATAACAGCTTGAACTCTTAATTCTGCCCCCATGTACTTCTCAATGCTGGGATTAAGGTGTTTCCTACCGTGTTCCCATGTTTGTTTCTTAGAATCCTTTTGATTTCAGAAGAAAAATCATTTGTTTTTCCAGAAAAGCCATTGGGATTTGAATAGAGACTACATTGACTTTTTCTACATTGTAAAGAGTTATTGTATAAAATTTTCTATTATTCAAATGTCCTTACATATTTCAGTATTTTTCTACTTTTCATAATTTCATTTCTGTCAGTACATATATATATATGTGTGTGTGTGTGTGTGTGTGTACATTTGCATGTATGCACCTTGGGTATCATCCTGCAGGAGCTGTCCACTGTAGTTTTGGGGACAGGTCTGCTCTTGATTGGGGTTCACTGATTGGTCAAGCCTGGTAACATAGTGAGCCTCATGGATCCTACTGCACCTTCCTGTCCAGTGTCTGCTGACGTAGCCAACTTTATCTGTGAACCCTAGGGATGGTACCCATTTTTTTGTGTTTATGGGCAAACACTTCACCAACTGATCTGTCTCCTGGCTCCTCTGCCATTTTTCTCAGCAGTGTGAAGTTTTTAGGGTACAAATCTTTCACCTCTCTTAGTGTAGGTTCTCTCAGACATGTTCTTTTCACCTGTGGGGTTATTGCACACCATGTCCTCCTTTTTGTATAGATACCATATTCCCAACTCAAACATATCTCTCTCTTCACGGTCTCACTTCCTGTGAGATGCTGTCCCTGAATGCTGCTGTCCCTCAGACCTTGCTTAGCAGCCACAGCTCTTTCCAAATGAGCAGTTAGACCCTGGGGCTCCTGCATGCCCCTTGAATTCCTTAGGAGCAGACTATGTTTATCTGCACTTGATCCTCTAATTTCTAGCTGGGACTCTAAGGAATTAGGAGCAGATTCGGTCCTGGTTGAGTTCAATTCCTCTCTGTCCTCGTGTTCTCTCGACCCTGTCCCACATGTTTCTTGTGATGGCTGTTCTTGTCAACTGGACTGAATCGGGAATGAACTATAATCCAGTAATGAAGGGTCATACTTGTGATCTGGATCTTGAGGGAGGAAGACAACATGTCTTTGATCTAGACCATGATTCTGGAAGGCACCTTTCATCTGGGCCACACCTTCTGCTGGGAGCCGGTGCAAGGACAAGGGAAGCAGGAAGGGTGTCCTTCTTCTGCCAGCCCTCACCTCCATCATCACATATATTTCCATAGTCAAGATCCCAGCAGAGCAGCTGAGACACCAGCCTCGTGGGACTGAGAAGATACTGGGTCCTTGGTCTTTCCATTCTCAGTTAGTCATTGTTGTATGGCAGCCATAAATCACTTCAATAAATTCCCATATATCCATTATATATTCAAAAATATATTTCACTATATATTTATATGTATAATCATTTCATAAATTCTGTGACCCTTGAGAACCCTAATACATTTACCAATCTCCATGTCCCACAACTGAGAAAACTCAGAGGTAAGCCTGTCCTGGACCACTCACCTTTTCTTCCACCAGAGGAAGATCAGCATCACATAGATGGGGGTTATGAGCACAGCCGTGGCCACCACCACCCCAATAATGGCTCCTAGTTTCACAAGTGAAGGATTCCTCTGTCCCTCTGTGTCCTCCAGTCCAGCCGTGGTGACTGAAGAGGTGATGATGGAGGGGCTCTTCGTGGTGATTCTGGCTGCTGGGAAGAGATGAGGAGTGAGCAGATCCTCTCTGGATGAGGAGAGATGGGGTGTCACACCTGTCCCCTCTGTGGGAGGTGGGATGGGGAGCAGCTGTTAGAAGTTCATAGAGGGGAACACATGCTGAAGACTGAGATTCCAGGAGAGCAAGCTCAGTGCACACCATCCACCTGTCCTTATGCGGTGTGTTATCAGAGTTACATTTAGTTCCAGATAATTAAGTCATAGAAATATAGTTGTTTTGGTCATAAATATATGGAACAAGCAGATGTCTCAGTCTGTATTGTGTTTGCTCTGAGGAACTTAGAAACACCAAGTTTGATACCTAGTATCCAATGAAGATCATGGTGAACTGTGCATGACCTTTAATCTTAGTTGTAAAGGAAGAGGCAGCCAGATCTCTTAGAGTTAAAGCCAGCCTGTCTATATATATTTAATTCCACACCAAACACAGATGAGCGAGTTGTTTACCAGTAAAATGTGGCAGAAACAGGCATGTCCCTGGGGCTCACTGGCTAGCCAGCCTAGTCTTTTTGGCAAACTTGAAGCTAGTGAGAGACCTTGTCTCAGAAAATAAGGGAACGGCTCCTGAATGTTTCCTCTAGCCTCTGAATGTATATGAAGAATTATCAATGCTCGGGGAGCAGAAGCCAGGAGCAAATGCAGTCCCAGAAGCCAACCCAGTATTGGACACTGGCAGATGAGTATTGAGCCAGTGACCCAACTCAGAGTTTGTGATTTCCATCAGAACTGGAGTGGGACAGAACAAGAGTGGGACAGAACCAGCTACCTAGGACAGAGAGCAAATAGCTCCACTAGGAGCAGAAGCCATAAGCAAATCCATTCCCAGGAGCCAACCCAGTCCCGAGACACTGGCAAATCAGGATTGAGCCAGCAACCAGATCCAGAGTCAGCAATCTACCAGAACAGGTTCAACTCCAAGCTAGGGACTTCTGGAGGAGGGGGTCCAGACCAGGATTTACAGAAACAGAGCAAAGCAGGCAACCTAGGCCAAAGTAGGCCCGAGATAGTAAACTGCAAGGGAACAGAGCAAAACACAGGAGCGCTGAGCTACGTCCAGGAACATTGAGTAACCAACAAGGTAACTAGAACTGTGACACTGACTGTACCACAAGGAACAACTGTCTGAGCTTTGGATTCACTGATACCTAGAAGATTATTCAACAGAATCTTAGATAGCCTCAGCCACACCTATTAGAGGAAAAAATGAATAGAAAAGTAAGATTACATGTTACACCCCAAAGAGGAACACAATACCAGTGAAACCTAAAGACCCCTCAACAGCAAGACCTGAACAACCAAAAATGGATGAACCAGAATAAGATGACCTAGAAATTATCCTGAAGAGAATGTTTGAAATTTTTAGAGAGTAAATAAGAAATTCCCTTAAAGAAATTGAGGAAAAGACGAACAAAAAATTGGAAGATACCAGCAAATCACTTAAAGAAACCCCCCAAAATAAATGAAACATATAAAAGAAACAATTCAGGACTTGAAAACTGAAATAGAAACAATAAAGAAAACACAAACTGAAGGAATTATAGAACCAAGAATTATGAGAAAAGTATCAGAAACCACAAATGCAAGCATGAACAGCAGAATACAAGAGATGGAAGAGAGGATCTCAAGTGCTGAAGATGCAATAGAGGAAATAGACTCATCAATTAAAGAAAGAATTCAATCTAACAAAAGCTTAACCCAAAATATCTAGGAAATATAGATACCATTAAAAAGCCAAATCTTAGAATACTAGGTATAGAAGAAGGAGAAGAAATTCAACTCAAAGGCACAGAAATTTATTTAACAAAATCATAGATGAAAACTCTCCCTACCTAAAGAAAGATATGCCTATGAAGATACAAGAAGCTTATATAAAACCAGATAGATTGGATCCAAAAATAAAGTCCTCTGGCCACATAATAATCAAAACACTAAACATACAGAGTAAAGAAGAATATTAAGTGCTGCAAAGGAAAAAGGCCAGTAACATATAAAGGTAGACCTATGAGAATTACACCTGATTTCTCATTGGAGATGATGAAAGCCAGAAGGTCGTGGTCGAGCACTATGCAGACATTAAGAGACCACAGATGCCAGCACAGATTACTATACCCAGCAAAACTGTCAATAACCATAAAATGAGAAACCAAGATATTTCATGACAAATCTAGATTTCACCAATACCTAGCCACAAATCCAGCCCTACACAAAATACTAGAAGGAAACTCCAAACCAAGGAAGATGGCTACACCAACAAAAACACAGACAATTGATGATCTCATTACAGTAAATTCTAAAAAAGAAAAATGCACAAATTAACATCACCAACGATGAAAACTAAATTAGCAGGAGATAGCAACCACTGGTCATTAATATCACTTAATGTAAATAAATCCAACTCACCCACCCCAAATCTGATTCCCAGATGCAGGGTCTGTTTTTCTCCGCTCATCTTACCTTCTGTGGCAGTGAGGGTGTTTTTGGAGTGTGCAGAAGTTGCAGTGTTGAGGCTTGGAGAGGTGGTCCTGGGGGCTGGGAATAGATGAAGGAAGTCAGCATGAACTTCCCCAGTAGGAGTGAAGATTCTAGAGATGCCTCTGCAGCACTCTTTGCTGTCAGACACTGAAGCAAGGGACTCCAAGGAACTGGAGACACCCAAGGAGTCTCAAGCTGGGAGAAGGAAAAGGCAAAGCTTGGAGCCAGCCAGTAAAGAACTGATCTCCCAGAAAGAGAGTTCACACAGTTCTGACAACTCCTCAGATCAACTTGCAGGAGAGACTGGAGACAGAGGATGATAGCTCACTCTGGGCGGAGCCTCACCAGAACTGGGACTGCTTAGCTGTGCTTATGTCTTGTCTTCTATTTAGGCCTAAACCTCAGGTCAGGATGTGTCAAATCACAAATATGGAGTTGGGGGTTGTCACTGGACCTCCTTGTTTCTCCTCCAATCTGGTCAAGCTGAGCGCTGGAAGCTGTGACATCATAGAGTAATTGCCCAGTCATCTTCTCAGGAGAGACTTATCAGAACCAAGGGGTCCGCTAAGGGCTAAACCAAAGGCAAGGCTTTTGCGTTCTTGCTTTGTGAATAAAGTGGCTGTCCTTTGCTGTAGATGTTTCACTGTAGGTGGCTTCCCTTCTGTTACATATTTGGGAGTTAATTCCCTAGTTCAGAACAGTTTCCTACTGCCAGGCCTTGTTGCTCTCTCCTAGTTAATCACAGAGATTTGCCTTCCTGTAATTATATTTATCAGCAGGCATTTGATCAGGGCATTTGGTCCAGGCATAGAGCATTACCTGCCCAAGCTGTTACTCTGGTTTTACCCCACATAAAAGATTCTTAACTCCTATGCTCACCTTCACCTGGGTTCACTGATGACTTTAGTTCAGGACTCTCAAGGGCAGCAGGAGAAATAATTAACTGTATCCTAGAGAAAGACCCACAACACCAGGATCAGAACCACTGATAACAACATAGTCCAGGAGTGCTGATTTAGAGGCCTGGTTTTCTTTTCGGTTTAGAGCAGTGAGTCTAACTCCAGACCGAGATCATAGAAACTGCAGCCTCTGGTGTGTTGCTATCTGATCAAGAGCCATCAGCTTCTTCCTGACTGTTTATGTAGGTTACCTGGAAGCCTCTATGTCCGCTGGGAGAAAAAAAGTGGCGTGCTGATTTAAACAATCTGTGCCCTGCTCATAAATTTACTGAAATAAACATTTTATCTCTTTTATCTACCTCCTAAAAATGTAGAGTAGCTCAGTAACCTTCCCCTCTAGTATCCTCTGATAACTTAGTTCCTTTCTTAACTACCTTTCTCCATTAAGGACTTCATAGATGTCTCTCTCTCTCTCTCTCTCTCTCTCTCTCTCTCTCTCTCTCTCTCTCTCTGTGTGTGTGAAAACCCTTGTCTGAATTTTTATGGGGCAAAAGACTTCTGTTCCTGGAACCTACTAAGGCTGGGGAATTGCTGGTTTTAAGGATATATGTGACTGAGAACATTTATAATGGGTAGAACTGAGAACAATGTAGAACAAGGACTGAGGGAGAACAAGAGGAACAATGAGAAATGATGGATTGAAGAGAGAATAAAGAATCGTGGATAAATGAAAGCTGTTGGGAATAAACTTTCCCCTCAGATCTTTCCCTCAGATGTTTAGCCCCCCTTTACCTCATTCTGACATTTTTAAATGAACCCTGAATGGGGAAGTCTTAAAGGCAAGAACTTTAAGGCTTCCTAAGCTGAGAATGCCTCTTTCCTCTGTTTTTCACTGTGACCTGCCTTTCTAATTGTCCTGTCGAGGACAGGGGGCCAAGCCTGGCTTGTTAGAGCTGCCAGGGCCCAGGCTCAGGCTCTACACTCAAGTAACAAGTGGGTTCTTCTTCAATGAAGGAATGGACAGACAGACATGGGTATCCTGTCTCCTTTAGAGATGTGGGATGGGGAGCAGCTCTTAGAAGTTCACACAGGAAGAAGGGAACAGATGCTGAGGCTGAGATCGGGTGAGCAATGACAACTCTACTTCCTGGTAGGAATGTTCTCATATGCTCATTGTCATCTGTTACAAAGAGCAATCTCTAAGTCACACAGATCTAAACAGTCATTTTCTAGTAACAGTCCTTGGTAGAACAGAAGTAGCCTGCCAGGGTGGACAAGACTGCTCCTTAGATGTGAGCTATTGAACAAATTCTCAGTGCCAGGCATGGCTTGCCTCCCTATGCGTTATCGGTGAGCGAGGTTCAGAGCCCCCAATCCCACACAGACTATTGGCATTGCTCTTGGTTGCCCACCACAGCTACATGGTAAGAACCTATTGCAGAAGACGCTGCTCACTTTTTATGTAGATTTTAAAATACAATGTAAATGCATGAATTATATAAATAAGCAAATGCTACTAAAAATCTTTTGCCATTTTTATGTATGTATATAGTATGTGTGTGCGTGTACACACACTCACCTACTCACATGCATGCACATGATTGCACACACACACATGGAGGATAGACATGTGCACCTGAACATGCATGTGGGGACAGAAGAGGCTTCTGTGTCCTCTTACAACATTCTCCATCTCTTCCTCAGCGACAGCATCTCTCCGTGAAATGGGGGCTCAAGTATCAGCTAGACTGAAAAATAACAAACTCAGCAATCCTCCTGCCTCTACCCCCTTGGTGTCACAGCATATGCAGGGACACCCAGCTTCCTTTGTGGGTGATGGAATTTGAATTTTGGTCCTCACAATCACAAAGCCACTGTCCTTAACCATCCTTAACATTTATTTAAAGATGGAGTCCACGTCACCCAGACTGGCCTTGAACTTGCTGTGTAGCTAATGACCTTAGACTCCTGATATCTTCGCCTCAACCTTCCACTGGGATCACAGGTTTGCACCACCCCACTTAAAAAATCACTTTAAAACTGACTGTGGTGGAGCAAACCTTAAACCCTGGCATTCGAGAGGCAGAGATGGGCAGATCTCTGTGAGTTCAAGGCCCATCTAGTCCTCATAGCAAGTTCTCAGCCAGCTATGGCTACATAGTAAGACCCTGCCTCGGATATAAATGTATGTAATGTATGATATATCATTTGAACTCAGCAACATGCGGTCCAGTGGTTTACACCGCATCCATTTTGCAGAGCAGCCACCACCACTATTTATTCCCAGATATTTTATATAACGAATTTCCTTTGTTCTAAATTTGACAGGGAGTGTAGGCAAATGTGTGTGTATACATATCTGTGTGTGTATCTTTGCACATATATCTATAAATATATATTACCTTTTTTCCCAGAATGTCCCAAAACAACAAAACATAAAACAAGTTATTGGAAGTACAGTGGTTGAGTAATGACTGAGAGGGAAGGAGCCTCATCAGCCACTGTCATGGATAAGGTTAGAATCACTAAGGAAGTGCAGTCCCGAGAGGAGAAAAGGCAGGTCAGCAACTGCGGAGATGGCTCAGTGCAGAAAGCACTTGCCCTGTGCTCTGGTTAGTTATTGTGTCAATTTGACAAAGCTGTAGTTATCTGGCAAGGGGACTTCAGCTGAGAAAATGCCTCCATCAGATTGCCCATAGGCAAGTCTGTAGGACATTTTCTTGCTCTGATTGATGTGGGCGGGCACAGCTCACTGTGGGTGGTGCCATGTTTGGGGTGGTGGTCCTGGATGCTTTAATCAAAGCAGGCTGATCAAGTCCAGAAAGCAAACCAGTAAGCAGCCCTCCTCCATGGCTTCCGCATCAGTTCCTCTTCCCGGTTCCTGCCTGGGATTCCTGCCCAGCCTTCTCCTGATGATGGAATGTGATAGGAGTGTGGAAGCCACAATGAACCTTTTCCTCCCCAGTGCTTTGATCATGGTGTTTAACACAGCGATAGAAACTCCAACTAGGACACCTCTGAAGCACAAAGACCTGAGTTGCATCCCCAGGGACCTGTGCCTGCCTCCATGTAATCCCAGCACTGCAGAGGGAAGACGGGATCTGGGGCTCACTGCCAGCTGGCCTAGCCCACTTGGTGAGTTCCAGGCTAGAGAAAGGCACCCCTCCATAAAATAGGAGGGAAGAAAGAGAAAAGAAAGAGAGAAGAAAGAAAGAAAGAATTGAAAGGCATAATATGCCCAGGGAAAGGTTTCCGAGGTTGTTACCTGGCCTCCACATGTATGTCCACACAGACACATGCATGTAAATATGTAACCACACTGACATGCACATACACATAAATGAAAAAATTCATAAAAATAAAGAATCAGACTTACAATTATAAAACACCTGCTGTGACTTTTGTTCCCATCAGAACCCACATAAAAATCCAGATGTGGTGAGCATCTGCAACTGTAGCCCTGCTTTGGGGAGACAGGACCAGAGAAGGGAGATTCACAGAGAGGCTGTCTGGGCAGCCATCTTGCACTCCATGGTGAGGAAACACAAGAGGGAGAGACCCTGCGTCAAAGCACATTGGAAGGAGAGAGCCAACTCCCAAAAGTCCTCTGACTCTGCCACTGAGACACCCACATGCCTGTGCACATAAACAGAAAATACAAGTAATAATGAAGACACAGTGGAACAGGATGGGATAGACAGGCCAGAAACACATGCTGTTCTACAAGAGAATCTAAAAATCAGATCTGGGTTTGTACAAGGTCCTCTGAGTATATGTTATGACTGCTAGTTTGGAGTTTTTTGGAACTCCTAATAGCGGAAGTGGGTGTGTCTCTGACTCTTTTACTTGCTCTTGGGATTCTTTTCCTTCTATTGGGTTGCCTTGTCCAGCCTATCACGATAGGAGGTCTTTTGCCTCATCTTGTTGTATCTTGTATTGCCCTGTTCGGCTGTTGTCTCTTGGAGGTCTGGTCTTTTCTGAAGATGAAACAGAAGTTGTGGATCTGGGGGAGAGGGAATATGGAAGGTGTGAGGGATGGAAGAAGAGAAGGGAGGAAAAACTGTGGTTGAGAGGTATTGCATGAGAGAAGAATCAATTTTCATTCATTCAGAGAGAGAGAGAGAGAGAGAGAGAGAGAGAGAGAGAGAGAGAGAGAGA